ATCACACAAACAGACTGTATAACACCATAACACTGTACACAATACAGTCCAGGCCAGCAAAATACAGTGAGGCGCTCAGTGAAAAGACAGTTTCTTAGCCTACTGTAATATGAAACAATAAAATGCATAACAACATAATTAAATACGCCAGTCCACAACACAGTATAACACAATACGTTCCATAACACTACAGTACTAGTCGATGTAAAGTAGCGCCATTCAGCATGACACGGTATTTATTATTTAGGACAGTTTTAAATATGATACAGTCCAAAAGCATTGTGCTCTAAAGTATTGTAACAGACAAGCACGCTTCAAAACTGACATACAGAACACTACATTATCGAAATATTGGACCATTAATAGTATACAACTTGTCCTATACATTTAGAAAAAAAGATGTAATTACAAAAAAAATAAAATACACACAGAACTCCGAAAACCTACAAAAGGGTGTACGTGTTTTATATAGGTATCATAGTGGTTTTTTAAAAGACGACAGTACCTTGACTGTTTCCAGAGTCGCTCCTTCCAGGATTACCACTAACCGCTTTTCAGTCATCCTATCATGCAGAGTCCGAAGATGTTTGGCCGGTTTCGGGTCATATTCGTCAATATCATCCGAACCACGTTTCAGCCCGCCGCGCGCCGCCATCTTCCTCCTGCAAGAAACACACAGACGACAGACGCGCCTCGAGTCGCATGAGTTTTACGTCACTTTGCCCAAAGTGAGGCAGCTCCTGTTTCGGGCGGAAAACCTAAAGCAGAAACGATGTCGATTGGGTTATTAACATGTCATTTTCTCAGTTGCCCCGCCTCTTCTTATCCCTATGCAAATTTTCTACTGTGACCTCTTTTCTATCATTTCGCAATAATGATTTGGCTCATTTAGGGTAGTTAAAAATATTTGTGCTCTAAGATTGTACATAGAAGTACTTGTGTTGCTTATTATAAGTTAAGTTGTGTATATAACTACTATTCATAAGTTTGTCATGTCATGTAGCCTTAATAAGTTAAGACCGAAAAAAGTTATACACATAGCACTAGTTGAGAGACGGACTGTCTACTCCTCAGGCTGGGACAGGAGATCACACACTGTATTATTATTATTATTATTATTATTATTATTATTATTATTATTATTGAGAGACAGACTCAGTCTCTGTTCCTCAGGCTGTGACAGTAGATCAGACACTGGGCTACAGCTTTATTGAGTTTCTTCCCCTAGTAGGATACTGTATGTAGCTGTTCTAAATCTGGCAGTTGTGGGAACTCTGAGCTGAAATTTGATATTTTAGGGAAGAGTGTTTCTATAATCTGTGTGTGCTTCTCGCAGTTCTGCAGAAAGCGCATCTCTGTCTTTACTTCGCCTTGCTGGCAGTTTCTCTCTGAACAGCCAGGTCTGACTGCATCCAGTTTCTGTGTCCAGGCTGTGGTCACTGACCCTGAAGATCCAAAGAGACGCTTTTCTCGAGAATGTTTCCTCCAAGAGGATCTCAGAAACCCTTCACACTTAGAATGGGACCCACCTCATCCGCCAAACAACCGTTATGCACCAGCAGCCAAATAAAAGACAAGATTTTCAAAGCTGGTTCTGTTTTATTATGTACTTCTCTGGTGCATGGCACATTCAACACCCATGAAAACACGGTATAACACTAATTCAAGGATGAGCTTTTAAAAAATAACTACATTTCCCATAAGGCATTGCAAAGGTATTCCTTTTCATCAACACAGTGTGCTTACAACTATGGCAGATGGGGAATGCAGTCCAAATCCAGTGCATTACTTTTTCCTTACTCCCAAAGCTGAATGTGTCATACTTCTCCTGATGCAATAGTGGCAGCATTCACTTTTACACACATGCTATAGCTTCTCATGGGAAATGTAGTTCTGCACAGATGTTTATATACATAATTTTGTAAAAATACATAGTGCAAATATACAGGTCTAATTGCCATGTACAAAATGAAGCAATAAAAAATATACTCAAAAGCTACATGTATAGTATCATCTGAGGTTCCAAATCAATTTTACAACTGGAAAGGCACAGCAATTGACCCCCTTCGTGCAGCTGAAGAAGGCTGTGTACTGTAGGTCTGTGTGTGTAAGGGAAATCCCATCATGCATCATTGTTTGCACATTCCCCTGGGAAATGTAGTCTCCCATGAGATCAACAAACCCTGAGGCTCCCCCTGCTTGTCTGTGCAGCAGTAACCCCCTATGTTGTCGTTAGCAGACAGAGAGTGGAAAAGGCAACGCACGGAACACGGTCAGCACTTTTTTCGGGGATTGAGTGGGGAGTCTGGGGAACAGCCCAGTTTCTGGGAGCAAAGGTCAGAGTTCGCGCACACGGAGTTCACCAGGAAGGAGGAGTCAGGAATAGAGAGGTCACTGTCGGAGCTGCACAGCATCTATAATGATAAAAAAAGAGCTCACGGGGTCAGGTTAGAACTACTGCTTCCAGGATTCACAAAAGAACTGCTTGTTTTTTTTTTTTTTGCAATGTCACATGGGATAAATTATCCAAACCTATTAATTGTAAATTTGTACATTTCTAGGACACAAGTTTTTTTTTTTTTTTACCTGAGCAAAGCTGGTGAAGAAGAGCTGCGTGTGACTCAGGCCAGAGAGAGAGAAATCACCTGGTGCACTCAGCAACCATTGAGCATAGGCCTGAGAGACAGAGAGAGAGAGATGGGTTCACACAGGAAACACAGCCTCTAGAGAGACCACAGCACACTGTCACTGCGCTCAGAGAGAGGAGTGAAAACAAGCACACGATGGATTTTGGGGGTTAGACCACATCCTACACAAGACGGGGTAAGAGTTTAGATGGCAAGTACACCCCATATGCAAAATCACACTGTTGGGGCCACAGTAAAGGGGTGACCCCTGACCCCAGATCACATTCAGACAGGCTCTGCCAGTTGCTCGCTACTGTAATTGCGATTGACGGACTTTTCAACACCAAGCAGAATGAGATCCTGTGGTTTCGTCTGTCTTTGCCAACCACAGACGCAAGCTGGCGTCTCCCCTGGGCAGCGTCACTGGTCTCCAGGAGAGAGGACAGTTCACAGCTGATTTGAGGCTGTCGAGCTCCTTTTGCCTTTAAGGAGCTATGAGATTCCTCACTCTGCACTACGACATAAAGCAAAACAACTCTCATTTGAAAATGTGCTAACCTTTCTGGATTTTTAATGGGCGTCAGTTTGCTTCTGATCTGTCACACCTCCCGAAGGGAGGGCGAACACAGAGGTGCATTCTGGCCTGAGAACGGGAGGCACACCTCCTGACACAGAGGCTGGTGGGAGTTTGGAACGCGTTGTCGAACCCCGGGTCAGGAGGTCAGAGGAGCGCCTCGTGCCTGTAACCCTTTCTTGAAGCAGAGCCAAACCCTGGCGGGTCGCTGTGTCAGTTAGTGACTCTGGTCTAGAGGCACACGAGCTCACACACCTCCCCCCCCGCCTTCCCGTCAGTGCGTCACCTGGAAGGAAACCTCGAAGGCCATGTGCAAGAGCCACTGCTCCTCTGACGTGACCTGGAAGCTGGATCTGTCGCCCTCCCGTGACGAGTTGCGGAACTGCAGCATCAGGCACTCGGTCAGCGTCAGCGGGGAGGCAGCGGGGCTCAGCGCTCCCTCTACTGTTCAAGGTAAACCATTGCAGCACATTGGAGTTGGACCGCGGGCTGAGCACAGGTCTCAGATCCTGACCCTGTACTGTACCTAGTCCAGTTCATTTTATAAGTCACCTGGAAAAACAGGGGCTTTTTTGGAAGATCAGGACAACTTGTAAGATAAAATGTATTAAGAAAGTAAATGTATTCAGTCAAGGAACATCTGGGACTTGATGACTGAATGATAATACGAAGGTACTGGCCAGGCTCACACCTGCTGCGTTTCAGTGGGTCTCCAGTGGGGAGATGCACAGTGATCTAGCCACCACCAATGGTCTTCGGAATTTCATGTCAAATGACCTCTAAATCGATCAGTTTAAAAATCAGCCGTTCAGGTGATGACACTTAAATTGGTCTTTAGATATCAATTTAATGGCCACCTATAAAAAATGGGGGCTCTCCAGGAGCACAGTCAGAGACAAATGCGGCAAATGGTGTCTGGGCACAATTCTGTAAAAGTGCCCTATTCCCCACTGTATAGTGTCCTGTCATGGACACGCACAGTGAGCGAGAATTTGAGGAGCAGAGATAGATTGAGATAACTCAGCTAGTCATTATAGTACAAATGAGTTTAACTGTTTAGTTCTTTTTTAGATCAGATGATGGAGTTTGATGTGAATCCTATACAACACTGGCAGCCAAGGCAGGGAGGCTAGAGCAGGAGTGAAGTTCAAGTGGGGTTGACATCAGGTTAAGGTGAATATCAGAGTTTACTAAGCAAACAGACTGCTGGTCAGAGAGAGAAGGAAAGAGGAGGCAGGCAGTCAGAAGGACAGGAGAGGGGAGAAAGTCTTTCTCACTGTGGCTGAGGAGGAGATGCAGAATGCCTTTGGCCACAGCTGTCCCCATTGCGCCGTAGTTGACAGCTCTGAAGAAGGAAAGAACAATCAAGCCTGTGAAACATCCAGGATAGAAATTCTCATCCAGTTTTGTTTTTTTAGAGTACCCCTGTGTCTGTGGGTTTTTGGTCCAACAGGGCCCTAAATCACCAGTGCTGATTGGTTCCTGTAACTGATTGGCTTAATTGCTTAGGCTATTTATTTTCTGCATTCAACCCTTAATTTTAAAAATCCCTTGGTACTGTAGTCCTACGTCTGGGCTCTCAGTAACCCCTGTGTCTTCTGGTTTCTTGTTAATTTATTTCAGTTTTCTATTTGAAGCCTTGTTAAAAAGTGGTTGATGCCTCACAGTTCTGGGGCCCTGGGTCCAATTTCTGGGGTGCTATGTGTGTGGAGTTTATATGATCTCCCTGTAGTCCCAGGAGTTTCCTCCTGGTACTGTAGATGAATTGGCCTGCATGTGAGGGCGTGTCTATGGCCCGTGTCTGTGTCTGTGAGTGCCCTGCAATGGACTGGCGTTTCTTCCAGGATGTATCCTGCCTTCTGCCCATTGCTTGCTGGGATAGGCTCCAGCTCCCCCCCCCCAGCAACCCATCATTGGAATAGCGATGAGAAAATGGATGGATGAGCCTTTAGCAGGTTTCAGGACTGCCCTTACTGAGGTGTTTGAGTTAAAATATAACCACTGTGGACCGAAGCAGAAGGAAAAACACCATCTCATTGTGGAAGGATCTGATACAGCAGGATCTGATACCATCACTCCATCACCAATGACGTTAACGATCACAAAGTACATTAACTGCGGTAAAACTGGGGACTGGGTGCAGAAAAGAAGCCTACACCGCCTAGCAGTTAGCAAACCATTATTTTTCCTGCTACTGCTCCTGCCACAGCAACTACAACCTCTAACAAAGCTGTTATTCTGCTAGCAATATACAGTAGATACATTCACAGCTACAACTAGCAGTAATAAATATCAATAGCAATTCTAATACTACAGCTTCCTGACCTGTTAACCTGGCCTGACTGTGACGCAAGGGGCACAACACCAAGCACAAAATGGTGCAGATGCAATCTCAGCTGTACTGCAGTTAGTACACTTCCTGTGCTGCATGTAGGGCCTGACTAAGATGCTGATGGAGACGTCTGGCCCTGAACGCAGAGAAGTTTCCCAGGGAGCCTAGACCAGCCTGAATGAAGAGGATGATGACGATGATGATGATGATGAAGATGATCACCTTGGGTAATCCGGGTGAAAGAGAGGCTGGTGAAACATTCCGGGCGGGAAGACGATTCCGGAGGGGCACAGGGAGGGACTGCCGGACACGGGACTCAGGGAAAACCTGATAGAGGGAGAGAAAACCGGAACTCGCTGAGCTTTCTGGGGCCGATGACTGTTGCTCTTCTTCGTTTGTCGTGAGGGAAAATAAAACTATAGAAGACAGGAAGGAAGGCAGGAGATCTGTGAGAAAGATAACACAGGGAGCGAAGTAGGAGTGACAGATAAGCAAGTTCACACCAACTCAGGGAGGTTGCACAGAGCAGGCTGTTCAGTTCTAACAGTTACGAGATAAATCATCTGTGTGAGTCACTCAGTCTCTGAGAAGCACTGAACAAGAGCAATGGCAAAAGGTTCTTTTCAGACCGACCAAAGATAATTATGTGGCAAAAAGCACAGAATAGTCGCCCAGATAAATGCTGACAGAATGACTTTTGGGTAAAAAACAAATAGTACATGTCAGTGTCTACTGCTCCCGACAACAGCCTCATCTTCCTCTGCTGTGAGATTGAGAGTGATTGCAGATAGTTCATGAAATAGACATCCTCACTGACTGACACCTGAAAGGATGAAAGAGATAGAGTGGGAAGTTAATATAAACTCTAATATAGACCCACAGAGA